ATTTGAACAAAAAGTGATAAGTTTAAATGTTAAATTTCTCTAACTATCCGTTTCTCTTCTGTTATATGAACAAATATCTTCTTAACAAAAAAACTCTAGTAATAGACATTATCCAGTTTCTCTTAGAAATGTACCTATTGTTACCTTTTAAGAATAAAGAGGAAAAAATAAATATTAAACATTTTTATTGGCATGAATATGAACATTATGTACATATTTCATTTTTATTCTGCTTGATGAAAAACCCCAAAATTTACACTTAAAAAAAATTCTGTAAAGTGATTGAATAAATTTTACGGAATTATATTTATCGATTGTGTGTGAAAACATTATGGTAATCTGCGTAGCGAAAACTTACATTTTTTGATGCCGACGGGCTTTCGGTAGAGTAGACAGATCCTCCTTCATACAATACTGCCGTGCGCCAAGGATAACGTTTTTAATATATTCATCTAGATCACTATCGTAACGTAAGTTTATAAACATTTCCTTGTCTGCCCCTTGTAATTCCTCGTGCAGTTTGATGAATTTATCGTTACAAAATTTCCACTCTCTCGTGGTAAAATATTGCAACAGTTCGAGACCGTTTGAGATTCGGTTTTGGAGATTAACCATACTGTTTATAAAAATACAAAATAGATCAATGACAACTGGGCGGTAAGATTTATATACATATACATAGTATTAACAATAGTGTTTTAAAAAGATTAATCTTTTAGAAATATATTATAAACATTTTGAAAACTAGATTTCTAACAGATACAAGATATTAGAAGATTTTTTAAAAATTTCAAGAAGTGTACAAAACTTACAATCTTTTCTGCCGAAATATTAACATCAGGAAATCAATGAGGTACGCGGGAATAATGTGAAAGAAGAAGATGAAATGATTATGCACAAATTTGCTGCTACGCATATCGCCATCTGGATACCAAATGGCTCCATCGAAAGGATATTCGTGAAGGCGCTCTCTGCCCTTTTCCAGTATTTCTGCCCAAGTAATACGTTTTATATTGCCTTGCGTTACATTGATTACGGGAATACTTTTTGATCTGTAAACGATAGATACGAAAGAACAAATGTGTAACAAATATATAAGATCAAAGAAAAATCAAATCAAAATATGTTTCATACTTTTAAGAATTAATTTTGGTATAATAGTATATTTATACGTATCATTATATTACTTAATATTAGGCAATCTATGTTACAAAGGGAAGTACCCTTTTTTTAATTAAATAATTTCAACAGAAAAATTTGAATAAAAATAATTGCAATAAAAAATGCTATTTAATTAAAATTCTTTATCGTAATCTCTGTTTTATGTCTACTAGCAAATAACTCTTTATATTAACTATCACGGAAGATAATAACAACAACAGAATATTTTACATTTTACGTATATGCTAGATAAATTTCTTTTAATGTAAATCATATTTCATTACTAAGGGGAAAAATAATATACGATAGGACAAAGCTATTTACTTTTTTTTATCAGTAGTAAGTTTGTATGAAATTGCAATTAATGTATTAATCGCGAAATCTACTGGTATAACTTCGGCGTGATAATTGCCGTTGCAGTGCATTGATCTGATAACACCTTTGCCTGCACCGACTAGCAATCCTATTGGTCCGTTTAAGTTATCGACCCATCCTGGCATCGGCTCTTCGTAACTAGGTAGTACTGTACAAAAAGATGAATTAATTTTTGTAATTCTTTATTTAGAATCATCGAAACATTATTTTTATAATATCAGGTAATTTTTAAAATATTTTTTGATTACCGATCGATGGTCTAGCGATGCAGCAAGGTATATTGGGGTATTCGTTGGCCACCAGCGTTTCTGCTAAACGTTTCGAGTACGTGTAAGTATTTGAATGTGGATGTAATAATCTATAAATAAGAATGTGGATATGTAGAATTTAATACTTACATCTTTAATAAATATATGATGTAACTTAATTAGGTTAATTTTAATTTTTAATTAAGTCAATTGACAGAGAGAAACAATCGCTTTAATACATACACTAATAATATTAATATATGTATTAATTTTAAATTAATACGCATAATTTTAGATATTTCAGCATAATAAGCTGATCAAGAGTGCAATCATTATTATACAATAATAATTAATATTTATTGTAATTAATTTTATAATTAATATTAGTGAATTGTACCCATTGGATACGATTATCATTAATCTGTCGAATATCATTAATAACGTCGTAAGTTTAATTACTTGGGCGTAATAAGATCGATACTCTCATCATCTAAGCACTGAACAAGTCTCATGATATCTTGAGGTTCAACGGGCGGGTTGTAGATACGTTCGCCAAGTTCCTCTTGATCGACGTGACAGAAAGCTGTGCTTAAATGCACGAAGGATTCTAGATGCTTCATTTCTTTTGCCACATCCAGTACTTTTTGTGTACCTGTCTTAAAGATTATTCGAACTTCATGTATTTTAGAAATTATCAAAAGTATTACGCATATATTATAAAATTAAGTTCTAAAAGATATATCGTAATCAAATTCAACTAAATGTTTTGTCGTCTCAATTTAATTGACACGATATTGTCTTACCGACTTTTTCATTATTTAAAATACCGCTTGAACATGGAGTTAAAAAATGATCATAAATACTTTAGATTGCGTACCATATTTGATATTAACAATCAACATGAAACACACGAATGGAATTCTAAAAAGAATGGTTGAGACTTCTTTATCGCAAATAATATTTTACCGTGTTCATCTCAATGGCATCTTTCAATTTCGATTCCAGTCGAAGTGTCGCGGCGAAGTGAAATACCACATTTACTTCATTTATTAAGAGCTCTCGTTGTTGATCGATGAGACCTAAATCGGGCAAACATATGTCGCCATTCAGCGGTATCACTTTCTTAAAAAGATTAGGTTTCTCATTCCGCAATCTTTGAAACAGCTATAAGAATATCAATTATTAGTAATTATTAGTTACTGTTTGCACAAATGCATATGATGCACGCATTACCATTTCATTTCAAGATACATCGTAATTCGAATAATGTTGAATTTATCCAAAACAGATTTATGTACTAATGTTTCACGTGTGTTCGAAGATTCTCGTATACTATGCAACTAAAAATTCTTATAACACAATGGTATTGTTTTAAATAAAAATTCTAAATCTCAAAATATATGACTTTATCACGAGACACGGTAGTGTCTCGCGCCAAGTGTAAGCGTAGCTAGTACACGCGTGCGAGACCGACCGTGTAAGTTTACGCGAGTACACGAGTTTTGAATTATACGCTCGTAAAATATTCTTTATATAGCTTTTTATTTAACCATGAGATTCTCAATAATAGTTTTGAGCATCAGTAATTAACAGAAAATAAAACTATCCATGCTAAAATATTGCCACGATATTATTTTGCGTAATACTACTTGGACGATGGTAGCGTAATTTGCATGGGTTTCTTACAGGCAATTTGAACATGTCGTCAAGCCGACTTTCGATACTGCGGCCTCTCTTCATACGCATGAGAACGTAGATTTTGACGAGATCGGAACAGCAATACAGCAATTTTTCCAAGAGAACTTTACCCATGAATCCAGAAGCGCCAGTAATAAAAACGGTCTTGCCTATGTAGAAGGATTGAATTTCGGACTTTGTTACTTTTTCCTCCATGGTTGTGAACTGAAACATTATAAAAATTTTAGTATATTACGAAATTAATGATCAAGACAGATAGATAAATAAATAGAGAGAGAGAGAAAGGGGAGAGAGTGAGAGAGAGAGAGAGAGAGAGAATAGTACTTACAAATTCTTAAAAATAAACGTTTAAAATCATTTTCATGGTGTGCTTAAAAATTAATGTAATAATTATTATTACATATACAATAATAATATAATATAATACAATATAATAAACCTAACCATAAAAGTTTCATAAAAACAATATTTTATGTTCTCTTTTTAACAAAAGAACACTTATTGTACTTTTTCTTATTGATTGTACATACATCAAATTTAACAAATTCAAAGTATAAAGTAAACTTTGTAGAAAAAAACAACGCACGATGATGATTGAAATGTTTCTGTCACGATTGCATATTAGATATGATTTCAAATTTGTAAAGAGGAGAAAATATCTGCTGACCATGACACAGGCATCAATGCCATAATCAGTGCCAAATCAAATTGACTTACTCAGCGATCACTGATCATGTTCAAAATCAAAATCATGATTCGCTAATCTTGGGCGATTGATAAAGTTCGTCATGTATAGGTATCGAGTCTGGTTTGCATTTTCGTATTCATCATTTCTTGCACTTTCACGTTTCCTTTTGCACGAACCAAATTGGCTCGAATAACAGGACGCTCATAAAGTGAAGTTATACGAGAGATCGGAACCGTGAATCACTTCTTTCAAACTAGCTGTTCCCTCTTAAAATTTTTTCGTTCAATTCAACGGAAAAGGTTGCAAATATACTGTCAAGGTTTTCATAATCAAGAGTAACAGGTTCATAATCAATTACGACATAGAAACCACTTCAGTTCTGAAACTGGTAATATGTTTTTTCTTCTAAACGTTTACGAAAATAGAGAATTAAGAGAATTATGGAAACGATTAGAAAAATTTAATTCGCCGCTGCCCCTCGTCCATCGAGCGAGCGAGCGTGGGTGGTGGTCGGCGAGCGGCGAGTGGCAAGCGACGAGTAACGAGTGATGCTCGCCCACCGAACCGTCTTAAAGTCGAAAGCCTGTTTCCGCGTGTTCATTCGCTTAGACGTATTAATTAATAACTTAATAACTATTGCGACTTTTCTCTTCAGCTTGTCTTAATCTGCCTGTATATTTCGGTTCATCAGCAACTTATCAGACCCCTTGTATATGATAAAATTTTGTGTAAATATTTTAAAGTGCCAAATGCCTTGTGAACAAATTTTACTATTAACAGTATTAATGATAAAACAGTCAATTTTCTTTATTATTAGATTATGCTTGGAAAGATAAATGTCAAAGAGACCGAAAGTGCTTCGCATACATACATTTTTATGAACTTTAAAGTCAAGTAATTAAAATAAGAGGAAGGAAGAAAGAGCGAAAGAAACAGGGAGAAATATGTGTAAAATATAGGAAAAACGAATCATTTGATGATTATTGTCGTTTAAATCTGTAGAAAGGTGTAAAAATTATAATTACATAGCACAATGCAAAAATTAAATTAACAAAACATTTGCCTATCAAATACCATCTTTTTGCTTAACTAATCATATTTGTAAATGTTTTACATTTCCTCAGCTGCTATAAAAGTTTGACGTTTTTTACTATAATTTGATTAATGCTGAGTGAACTCGTACTTAATTACTGTGTTTATAATATTGTTGCATTTATAAAGTTATAAAAAGGATTAAAAAAAAGAATAAAAATGTATCCGACACAAATTATGGTATAGATTGTCTAATATGGGTTTAACAAAATCCAGTGTTTATACTCGGATATGATTAATGGAAACTAACTTCAATTGATAAATTAATACTAACAGACGCATTTTTTAATTAAAAATATTTAGACCATTCATTGATCACAAAACAATTCCATTTTTCGATGAAAGGTTGATTGAAAAAAAAGATTATTCGTAAATCATCAATCAAAATTATTCTGTTTGAAATTAATGTTGGAGCACATGCAGAGGATAATATAAAATATCATATACCAGTCAATGCTCCACGCGTTCGTTTTAATCGTTCGATCGCCTGCGATTAGTGCGATGTCCCTGTTGCTCTGCGAATATTGGGTTGCGCGTTCTCCGTACTTGCAAACTTACTGAGCTCCTTCGTAATCTGCGCTGATATTTGTACTGTTGTAGAACGACCTACGAAATATCTCTCTTTCTGTTTCTCTCCCCACCTGCAATAGCTGCGTTTGACATTGCAAATCCGAGGCGTCGAATTCTTCCTCTTTTTCTATCTCATTCTCTTTCTATCTCTCTCGCTCACTCGTATGCAAAAGAGCACTTCGAGGCCTCGGATTTGCAATGTCGAACGCAGCTATTATACCTTTAATTACTACCGAATAACATATCCATACAGCACATGTAGATGCTGAGAATTTTCGAAGAATATAGCAACAGTAGATTGTGTATATTCTCATAATATTCAAGATACGTACTGCGATTTATTTGAATATACTAAGAAGATTTCTATATCCGGATTTTTTCAGTTTATAGTTGAGAATATTTTGCAGCACATACATAGAATTTCCGTAGAATCAATATAGAACCAAGAATACAAAGTGCGCAGAATGTACTTCTTTTTACTGTAGGGTAAATAATTAGTGCTTATTATTCATAATTTATAAAAATATATTCTTACTTTGTAATTATTATATAATACATACACCGAGGGAGCCAGATATCAATCAGAAATAAACCAACTGAGGAATTTGCAGAAAATTAAAACCACAATACATTAAATCAAATAACTTTGCTGCATGTGGCAATGCTGCAACATAAGAATTACAAATAAGGATTATAATAAATTTTAGCTATGGATTATTATTTGATCAATTAGTAATAAGTTGTCAAGGGGAATGCGTTATAAATATCATAGTAACATTATTTATCAGATTTCTTAGCATAAGGTATACAATTAAATGAAAAATGGAAATGCGTGGTAAATATGCATGTTAACGGAACTAGCCCCAATGACTTTGACCCTGACATATGTTGTCAAGGTCACCCTCCTGAGTAACCCTCGGAAGGTTTTAGCTGTCGCTCGTTACTTGTTAAAAATTAAAAAAAATATCGACCAAGTATATACATATTTACAGTATTTATTTATCATTAACTAGAACAATATCTTCGGGCATGCAGAATTTATTTAATTTTTCTTATTTTCTTACGATAATTTTTTCGAATAGCAAATAGTTAAAAAGGTTAACTGATGAGAAACATGACACATATAACATCGCGGAACAG